TGTTGGTTTATTTCAATACTTAAGTAACCTAAAGAAATACATTTAACGACTTCTTTTTACCTCCTCACTTAGAACAAAGCGCTGACTAACTCTGTATTTTTTACAGCTTCTCATACATTTTTACAATGTATTCTTTTTTGCTAAAACTAATTTGAGTAACAGTGATATTTATGTAAAACACATAATTTTTAATTTATTTTATAGCTTCAGCAGAATTAGTATTTTCTTCTTATTTCCTAATCATTTTTTACTACCCTATTCTCCCTATTCTACCCTATAGTATAAATATAATAATTTCTTCTAATTAAACTAAAATAAATGATGTAACAATAGAATGGCCTGTGGTCCGGATCCAGCCCTGATTTTTTTATTTGGCCCTAATGCGGATATGATCTATTCTATAGGTAGCAAATTTAATTGTATTCAATAATTTAATCTCAGAATTAAAAAACGAGCATATTTTTCTATGATTTTCTTTCAATTCAACTGCAATTTTAATTAATGTTTGAAATTTTTCGTTTGTATTTTATTGAATATAAATAACACTTTGTTATTTGTTATTCGACTAGAATTGAAAGTATGTTAAACTTATTGGCTGAAACCCGTAACTGGATTCCATTGAAACAAATTAGTTTCAGCTTTTCAAATCAGTATTTTTGTTATCTATAGAAACTTTCAACTTTCTTCCACGCAGCAAATCAAATTTGCTTTCTCTTAGACCAAATATTTTTTTTCCTAGGTAAAATATCAACTTAGGGATACTTGTAACAATTAGTTTACTATGAATACTTATAACTGTGAACAATTAGCAACTTATTAAACTTTTGATATAACAAAATATGATATACAGTGACTTAACGAGCAAAATAAATTGTACGAAAAGTGATTCGCTTAACGAGCAACGTTTCGCATAACGAGTAACGAAAAGAAGATAAGTCCCTAATTGTGCGCATGCTACGATCATTTAAAACTTGTGTACACTTATTATGTGTATTTTTCAATATATTGACCATCTTCGATTCTCTTTGTCATCTTGTTTACAACGGACTACAATTTGTGTTTGTTGTAAATGCAAACACAAATGTATTGTGTCCAATCGTTATTATAATATATAAACACACTATGTACGCTTTTTTCTATTATAAAATATTAAAAGTATAAAGAGAAGTGGAATATAAACAAATATAAACTCACTTCACCGTGTGTGAATTGGCAAACCTGCTGTTAGTGGTCATTCTTGTTGCATCTAACTTGTGATCAGGTATGTTATTTGTGATTTTTTTTTGTTCAAAATTTAATAACATTGGCATGTCTCCGAATAAATAGCTAAAGAATAAAAATAACCATAGAAATGAAAACCAAAATTATGAATGCATTATTGTAATTTACATTAGTTTATATGGGAAAACGTATTTCACTATACGAGTAAAAATCCGGAAATTTTGGAACGGATTAAACTCGTTAAGCGAGGTTCCACTGTATATATAAAATATCAATATAATGAACCAGCGAGTGAAATGGAAAATTTGCTTTATATAATTTTCAACATTTACTATGATATAAGCCGACTACCATAAAGTTAGCAGTAAGTATAAAGTAAATTTGATATTCGTAACTTCTTCAGGTTAAAAAGTATTTTTAATTGTAAATTTGGCCACAGGAAGTTTTGTTTCATAATTTGGCTAAAAATAATGTTGAAAAAATGTTAATACATTTGGCAGTAATTGAAATATATTTTTTCTAACATTATAAAAATAACAATAGAATAGACAATGAATATTACAAAAGATGTATAAACTTATAAATATAAGAAACCTAATTGGTAACGAGGAACATTCGAATAGACCATGTGTTTAATTACAAATGTAGCTGCAATTGGGTAAATCGTATTGTCCTTTAACAAAAGCGAGTTTTTTTTTGGGTGAATTGTGTGAAAGCGGATTTACTATTTAAGGGTAATTGGGATGTTGGTGCATTGTTTGTTTGTGTATCTTGTTGCAGTGAATGTTACCAATTCACACCAGAGGAGGCATGCATTTAATAAATTCTGGAGCCGCAACGGACCTACGCTAAGATAAACTGCCGTGGGAAATGGACATGCGGGTGCAAGGTTTACATTAATTTTCGATTGGACATTGAGCATGAATCACAAGTCAAACAGAAAATAGAACATTTTTTTTATTCCGAAAGAAACAATCGTCCGAATCAAACCAGAATCATGTACGTATGCAACAAAAAAAAACTGGAGAGGATAAGGCTTAGAGTGAATGAATGATGCATTTGGACTTTGATTGAAAGCTGCTTCTGTTGGTTTCCAATCTGTAACAAAAATAGAGTGGTTTGTTTGGAGTGAGAAAACAGTGAGTTTATATTTACATTGGCACGAGGGGGTCCAGGGTCCAGGAGCTGTTGCAAAATAGTGGGCATTATACGATGCGGGTAGCAATGCAAGGCGTGGGGTGGTGGGACGGGGGTTGCTTGATGTTCAACATCCCTTCGGACGTAGAAGACGTATTTCCATGCGTGTAGTGTTATTGAAAGCAAGGGGAGATTGAATGAATCGGCTTCGGGTGGAACGTTTAAAATAATATTCAAAATAATGCGGAGATTAGCAGTATTCGGAAACTAAAAGAAAATAAACATAGGAGGATACATTCATTAACGAATTAAGCAATATGAGATTGCTTAATCCCTCTTGCCACGAGATTCAATTAACGAGAACTCAACAATTCATTAATTAATGCCGCTCCGTTCGTAACTAATTTTAAATTGTTATATAATACTTTCAGAGCCTTCACACAGCATTGTAGTAAGAAATATTTATATAGTATACACATTTTTTTACAATTATAAATTAGGAATCTAATGTATAATTGTTTTCAATAAATTTTAGTCTTATTCAACTTTAAACTGAATACAGTAAATATATCTTTCATATATTTCTTATATAATATTTTAGGAAACAAAATTAGGAAAAAAATACTAGATTTCACTTGTCAGCACTATGAGTAAAGTTTATTTAAATTCAACTTTAATTTTCAATAAACTATACATGCTTAAAGATAATAGATTCATGCATGTTTAATATTATTTTAAACTCAAAGACAAATAACTTATTTCCATTAATTTTTTTATTATGTAGATACGAAGAAGCAAAATTAAAATAAAGAAACAAATTTGTTTTAATTTAAAGAAATAGTAAATCTTTTGGTTTTGATGTTTATGTAGATCAGAATGAAGTTATAATAAAATACAATAGAAAACACATTAACATTTAATTTTATAATTCCATACATTTAGTCTAATAAATATCAATAACATTTGTATTTACAAAACTAATGAAAGTCTGATATGTCTTATCTAACAATTGCAAAAATGTTTAAATATTAATGAAACATGATAATTAGAACTTTGTTAGTAATCCAGAGACTTATTAAGCAGTTAGATTGTCTAATACTGATGTGAAAGACTCCTAGTTGATACGACCGTGAACATTTTTATTTTTTGCCAACGAATTAATCTCAATCTGTTTAGACAAAGCATTTATTAGACGTCTCTTTTAAAATAAGACAAATGGCACACGCCAACATAATTTTGTATAATTTTAATCTCATACATTCTTTTTAGAAGAAGCGGTCTTTTTAAAAACACCAATCTTTCAATTTCCCGCAAAACAACAACAATACGTTATTTAGGCACCCGATGCAAACATTCCTAAATAAATTTGAGACAAATCCAATATACAAATCAATTTTAGGCCAAATTGAAAGCCCAGAAAGAAACATAACAAATAATGATTGTCCATAAATAAAAAACACTATTAAATCTAAATCTTAAATAAATTCTTTTTATGACATTCAAACGCGATTATATCTTTCAAATTATTATATAACTTGAATTACATGTAAATCATTTTTAATGAATATCATATATCTAATAAATAATGTAAACTGTAGTCGCCATAAATCGATACAAAATTATTCAGCATGCAGCGCCGAACTGGTTGAACTTATATGTGTTTCAAATAACCTGGAGATGGCGCAACAAGTTATATGAACGGATTCAGACGAATATACAGTGTGATCCATTTTACGACAGGCTTAAGTTTCAATATTTTGGGGTTTTACTATTGAAGTATTTCTTTCAAAATGTTTGCTCTTTATCCTTCTAGTACGCGTCGAAATATGTATAGCACCACTTTTCTTTGATATATATGTTTGTACTTTGGTATTTATGTTTGTAGTTAATGGTAAACTTTAATTGAAATGCAAATCACTACATTACTCTAAGGATGTAGTTTACTAGAGGATTGATGTACACTAGGCAACAAGATTTAATTTTAAATTTGAATAAGTGTTTTAATAAACAAACTTTATAAATAGTTATTTTTTAATATAGAGTAGTTGTACAAAACACTTATAATGTTTATCATTCCCTAGAACTCCTTTTTTTATTATAGAGCCTAAAAATAACTATTAATCAAATTAATTGTTATTATAAAATAAATGTAGTTTTTATCTCTCTGACAAAAAGTTGTCATTATGCAACGTTAATCACATTTTGATTATTTGAGACATCTTTTTTAACATCATAAAATATAATGATAAATAAAGTATTTTTAATTATTGGATACATTATATAATAAGTAGCATTAATATGATATTTTTTTTCTCTTTGGCCATTTTTCTACGCCATTCGAGTTTATCGGCCCCAGAAATTTTTGTTAGTTTTTGGGATTCAAACCAACTTTTTTCATGATATTGTCGGGATTATGGTAGTCGGGATTTTGACATAGTCGGGATTTCGATATAGTCGGGATTTTGAGCCAGCCGGGATTTCGAACGTCGGGATTTCGATAGACGGGATTTCGGTTGTCGGGCTTGCGATTACCACCGGTTCTATTACATGATTAACTGTAATGTATCTTTAGTTACATAACTAACAACAATGAATAATGTAAAAGAAGTTGCAAATGTGTCAATGTGATTCCATGTGAAATTGACACATGTCAAACAAATATAATTTTACGGTTAAATTGTATTCAAATATTCTCTTTCAATAATAGTAACATAATATTGGAGATGGCTTTCGTAATAAAGTTCGCGAAGGGTGTGCGAAATCACTGGAAAAAGTCCACATTCGCAGCCTGCCTAATGGCTTACGGTGGAAGTTGGTTGAAAGAGAAATATGAGTGAGTATTAATATTAACCTAAAATGATGAATGTTGAATTAAAACAAAACATTTTAGAATTGATGACCTGATGAAATTCTACTGTGAAGAGGCCCTGAAACATGGGCAACAAGCAATCAATGGAACAGTGAATCCACGCACAGTAACAGTGATATTGAATCCTGCAGCAAACAAACGAAAGGCTCTGGAGGAATTTGAAAAGTATTGCTCCCCCATTTTAAATCTAGCAGGCATTTGCGTCGATGTCGTGCAGACAGAGAGTGAAGGACATGCAAAGGAATTGGTACAAAATTTACAAAATACTGATGCAGTTATAGTAGCTGGAGGTGATGGAACTCTTTCTGAAGTTGTGACTGGCCTCCTGAGACGAACAGGAGAGAGTAATGGGAATGTTATTCCAGTTGGTAAATAACGTTTATTTCCTATATTTTCAATATTGATTCTTGATATTTTAGGTGTGTTGCCACTTGGTATAAGTAACAGTGTGGGATCAGCGTTATTCCCTGGTGGAAGTAGATTACCCAAAGTTAAGTCAATGGCTGATGCATCATTGGCTATTGTTGAGGAAGCCACCAAGCCAATAGATGTAATGAAAATTGAATTGATCAATGAAGGACCAGAACCTGAGGAGGCTAAACCTGTGTATGCCCTCTCTGGAATTGAATGGGGAGCATACAGGGATGCTGCAGCAAGGAAGGACAAATACTGGTATTATGGACCATTAAGAAAGTATGCAACATATATTTTCAGTGGATACAAGGATAGCCTCAGCTGGAATTGCAATGCATTGGTCACCTATACTCTTCCATGTGAAGGATGTTCCAATTGCACAATAGAACGAACTGAAAGTGACAAAAGGTGGTATCACCGTTTCTTCTCATCACCCAAAGACAATAAATCCAAGGCTCATATTATTAATGATCAGTGCAAATTGCAACAAGAGAAGCAAATATCGACCACTGATTTAGCATTGATTACCTCTAATATTCTCGGCGAAACTAGCGGACCTCCGCAGCTACAATTGCATTTAGGACCTGACTCTGTGGATTACGTAGATTTTGTCTCTGCTGGTTTCAAAACTGAGACGGGCGGAAACAGGGAAGTCAAAGAAACTATACTCGCTCGTCAGATGGAAATCAAACCGGTAACCGCAGAAGAAGGAAAAGAGATTTGGTTCTCTATAGATAACGAAGACTTCGAAGTGAAACCCGTGAAAATAACATTGCTACCTAAAATTATAAGAATGTTCTGTAAAAAGAGCGAAGCCATTTTTTAACGTTTTTACACAGTCGCATTTGTTTGTTCTTTTATAAATAAATTATTGTTAATTTATTCATTTTGTTATATACAGCAGAATATGTACAAATAGTTTTCCAATTACAATTTTTTCAACTTTAAACCCTTAATTACATAATCTTTAATGTCAAAAATTGATGTATTCAACATATTCATTCAATGCCTATTTACTTTTATAGTTACCATTTACAATAATAAAGCTTATATTTATTGTTTTAAAAATATTTACTTTTTATAGCCATAAACTTTCCGAAACGTAGTTAATAAAATGTAATTATTATCTAATTTATATTGGAAAGTTTTAGTATAGCCTAAAACGTGATTGTTAAATTGCCTACTAGTTCCATCGTTGAATGTAAATATGGTTGTATAAACTGGCGTAAACCAGTATAAATGAACGAAACAAGAGAAGTGAATGTGATGCGGAAATTGCTTACAGTGTCAATTATAATTAACAGTGAATAAAGAAAAAATAATTAATTATTTTACCAGTAAACACTTGTATATTGCCATATACAAGTTTGGATGTGAGTGCTTCATAAAGTTAAGCGTAATTTGAATATTGTTGATATTGGTTATGTTTCCTTAATATTGTCAACGGTTTTTTGAAAGCCCGCGAATCCATCAGTTACAATAACTGATGTATTCTTTTCCCGCGCTAAATAATCGTGTTACGTGTTTTAACCATTCCGAAATAGTGATAACTAAAGTGTATTTAATTAAACAATTTCTGGGAAATTGTATTAATAATGAACACAGTGCAGAACTTCTACAATCAACAGTTTGGTTTCAGTAAGTGCAATCTTTGTTTATTCATTCATGAATTTTGTAAAATATCTATTAATTTTCTGTAGAAAAATGGGATCAATATGATAATGTATTGAGGCGTTTACGATGCACAAGAGATGAAGAATTCAAAGGTATATGGGGTGAAGATGATAGCTCAGAGTCAGAAGGTGCTACCCCCATATTTGCATGCAAATTTGCTCAAAAGCAAGGTAAGTCTATATAGTAAAATTATATTTGTATGTAACATAATTTTGAAATGGTATCTCCTCAGGATCTGAAAATTTATTGGCATTGGCAAATGAAGATGGTCAATTAGTGGTACATGACACTAATAAAGTAGAGCCACGACAAGGGAAACAGATCCACCACAATGCTATATTTGATATTTCATGGCTCTCTGACTCGCTGAAACTGGTGACTGTATCTGGGGATCATACAGCAAGATTAATTGATGTGGGTGGAGGAGACATGAGAACAGAGCAGATGTTCACTGGACATTCAAGATCAGTAAAAACAATTGCAGTTAAAACCAATGACTCTTCGATTTTTGCGACTGGTAGTCGAGATGGTAGCATCAGGGTTTGGGATACGCGTTCCATACAAGCATCTAATTTAATTGCAGCATCTGATAGAGTTATCCAGCATTCACACTGCAAAACAACGCCTACTACATGGAAAAAGCGATTAAACTATTCATCGAGCAGCGTATCGGCTGCAAACTCAGTGACCGGCCTTGTTTTCCAGAACGACAATACGCTGATTTCCTGCGGATCCGGAGACGGTTTAATCAAAGTTTGGGACCTGCGGAAAACTTACACAACGTTGAAACACCAGCCATCAGCTAAACATGAAATACCATATTCAGGTAGCACCACAAGAAACGGCTTCAGTAATCTCATCTTAGATCCTTCAACGTTGAAATTATATGTAAATTGTTTGGATAATACGATTTACTGTTATAATGTCGCTACTTACAATACGCAGCCGGTTATGGAATATAAAGGTTTTCAAAATTCCACGTTTTACATAAAGTCGGTGCTGAGTGACGACGGCAAGTATTTGTTAAGCGGAAGCAGCGATCAAACTGCGTACATTTGGAAGATTAATCAATCGGAGCCGATAATCAAACTCTCAGGACATACAGCAGAAGTTACTTGCGTGGCTTGGGGTAAGGACACCAAAGCTCTGGTAACATGCTCCGATGATGTGCGGCATAAGATATGGAGGATAGGGAATGAGTATCCTCCAGATAACTGGGAAGTCATAGGACGCGGTTATGCCGAGTCCGTCGCCAAAAGTCCCATTAATTGTAAACGTTTTATTGAGGAAAATGAAAATACGCCTTCTCAGCCAAAGCGATTCCGATACAGTAGCAGCAGTAAAAGAAAACTAGACGTTGACGATGGTGGTAACAGTGCCAAACGATTTAATTCAGGACGTAGATTGTTTGATGCAACGAATAGCGTCGCATCTTGTTCCACTGTAGATGATGGCCCATTGGCAACAATTTTAGAAAGTATGAACAAAACTCCGCCAACAAACGGAAGAAAGCGTTTGCTCGTATCTACCCCACCAGAAGTGTTTTCACCGACCACAAACTTACCCAACTTTGCCATTGATGGAGAAGCTCCGCATTTACATTGCTCACCACAAAAGAAGCAAGATTGTGATTGGCTGACGAAAATGAGAGTTGAACGAAGTTTCCTTCGACAAAACCGAGAGCTAGTTAATTCAGGTAATTAAGTTACTTAATTTATTATGAAATTAAATTCTTAATGTAAATTAAATAATCAAAACTTTTTTATATTATTTTAGGTGCACCTCCTCTTAAAGTGCCACGTTTAATCAGTGAAAGCAGTCCTAGGGGATCTAGCAGACAACCGAAGCGACGAAAAAGCAAATGCGATTCACCGCAAACACGAATAGTGGAATATTTCAGAGCTACAAGTAATAGCATTATGAAAGACGGTCAGTGTTCTCCCAGATCATCGTTATCGCAAACAACGCAAAACTTGACAAATAGATCTAATAATAATTAAATTATTAGATCTATCAAACAAAACCTGACCCTATTGTGATTAATCATCTCATCTCATGTTTCGTATCGCATTTTACATTTACTCGTAATTCTATACTGATATTACTACTAAACTCTTGTTTTTTTTTCCTGGGGAATTGAACAAAAGTCATATAAACATTTGAAATTTTATTGTTCATTTTTTCTTAATGAATTACACGACCAGTGATAATAGGATAGTGATCGTATTATTAAATATTTATTTATGTTTGTCAATACATCTATATTTTGTCAATAAAACAATTTTCACGTAGAACTGTTTGTATTTTAATATATCCTATAATCATGATACAGTAAGACCCGAATGGGGGCGAAGTGAAGTCAAACGGTCAGTTAATATTTCAAATAAAAATTCTGGATTATCTGCGAAACGTCGTGCAGGTAACCAACAAGTAAAATTCGAAAAATAATATGCAAATTTCTAGAAATCACAAGTAAAGACTTGTTTTGGTTCTATGTTAATAAAAAATATGATTTATAAAAAATCTGTTCATAGGCAATAGGAGATATAATTGTTCTTTTTTTTAGGTACACGTATTGGTTCAAAGATACTAAAAGAGAAAAAACAATATAAAAAACAACTTATGCGAATGGAATGTTTCCTTAACAATGAACACACTTTTTCTTGTCTTTGGTAAAGGTTAAAACTAATTGTACATCCTCTATAAAAAAAAAATAAAATTAAATTAGACGATTCTCGTCAATTGTAGTATTTGTCAGTTCTCGATGGGATCACCGTTCTCACGAAAAGCGACGGTTCCCTCGAATAGGAGAGTGCAGTAGATTGTCTGCAAACGGTTTCGAGCGGGCTCAAAGTTCGTATCCAAAGCCAAAGACGATCGGTAAAAAGACAATGCTTTCTCGAAATCTCCCTAAAATTAAAAACATTAATTACTCTTCATCATTGAATGTAGTCAATAATACCAAAGAAGTGTGAATGTTCGCAGTGGTGAAATGGTTAACAACATAGTTGGGATGAGTTTCCAAAGCTATATAGGCTACTTCCAGTGCGTCAACGAAAAATCCAACTCTGCAAAACAAAATCATCAATATACAAAAGTAATGACTTTGAATTAATGATGTTACCTATGTAACACATTGGCCAAACTTATCAGAGGGATGTCTCGCATATCTAATGGAACATAAGTGAGAGCATTCCTTAAACAGGTGATAGCTTCTTCGCTGTTACCGATCACTCGCCAGTAAAAAGCAGCCGCTGTTGTCAAGACCCAAGAAGTGGAATTCTAAAATATAATTTAATTATTTAGAGAATGAATATCTCCAAATACAACTATTACTTCTTTCAATGCTATGGCGATCTTGGTACCAATCTCTTTGACTGACGATTCTTGATCACCCGTCATCAAAGCTAACCATTCGAAGAGTGCATCTTCGGGTAAATGGGGTAACCTTTTACGCAATACCATCGCAGTCAAATGGTCCAGCGTTGCCGAAGATGAAGGTACACTATCGGTGCATTGAGGTTTCACTACTTCTTTTAATCCTTTTGGCAGTGGTTGTAAATAGGGTCCAACGCTAAAAAGCAAGCATTCGACTTGAATGTGACAAAGAAGAAGAATCATTTTTACGATCTTACTTGAAATTTCTAGCTGCAATGGTTTGCCACATGGAAGTAAAATGTAACCAATCTGCCTCTTTGATATCTTTACATTTGTTCCATGTCAAAGCATAAGTACCAGATTTATCGTAGACGTGCAGCATCACTTCAGTCGATGGTTCCTCAGTAGATACGAACACTAAAATAAAGAATATTAGTGATAGGGTATGTACAAACTTATATAAACTCAAATACCATAAAAATCACCGAGATTGTGACCTCCGGCTTTTGATTGTTCATCGGCTAATAAAGCTTTCATGTGCATTTCATGACTCTCAGAATCTGGAAAATCGGCAGGTCCGTCGGTAGTGAGTAAAGTAGATAACAAAGAACCGGCACCCAAGTTGTTCGGTTTCCCACATTGATCTCCGCCGCTATTAATAATCTTGGTTATTGGTTTCACTAAAATCAATATTTTTATATAACCAATTGATTCCAAAAATGTAAATACCATTTTATTGTTACATACCTACTCCGTCTTTATCATTGTCAGCCCTAAAACATTGGATTGCCGCAGTCTTACATTGCTCTCCGCTTGTGGAACATATCACTCCCTCACCGCTGAATCCATCTTTTTCTCCGCACATCAGAGATTTCTCCTCCTTTGAATGCTCGTAACTGCCCATCTTGATGCGACACGCCCACAACTTCAAAAGACGCTCCGCCTCTCCACCGTAATAATGAGGATCCACCCTCAAAACGTTCTTTAAGTAATACATGGCTAATAGCGGATTGTTCTTCTGGTAATGGATGAGCGCCAACAAGAAGTTAGTTGCCGGCTCCAGGAAGTTCACTTTGAATGCCAAACTAGCAAATTTTAAAGCGCTCTCCGTTATACCCTGCTGCTGCATGATTGAACCCATGGAGACCAGAATGACGTCAGTGAATTCTTTTGGGACAGAATCCAAAGGCATGTCTAGGCATGCAAGAGCGTTTTTACCATTTGTTCTGATACGCCAATACATACTAGCTAAGACGGATAAAACCCAATTAGGTCCAGACTTCTGAAAATGAAGAAAAATAAATGTTGTTTCTTCTAAAATATATTTAATAATTACTTTTTTCACAGCGGATAAGATTCTTTGACCTATTTCTGCCTCATCCCCCTTGCCCTCGTTTACGTATCCCAAGAAGTGATTCTTTAGTATCGGATGTAACGAAAGTGGTTGATTTTTGGGCATTGTCATGCGTAAAACTGGATGATGCAATCCCAATTCCTCGGCTTTCGGGTGTTCGCAAAGCGGAGGATACCAAGGCAAGGGATGTTCCGCACCGTCTTCAATCGCTAAATCTTCTGACAGCATTTTATTGATCCTAACAAACACACAACTTCAATTTTATCAATTCACAATTTGTAATTGAAAACTTACTGGAAACCCTTGTTTTCTAAAGGAATAAATACTGGCAAATCTAAGTTTTCCTTTTCTTTCAGCGGCAGATCCCATTCAGCGCATTCGTCTTTACTTGGCCAACGAACGCTGTCAAAGTATAAATTGTTGGAAGTTCCCATGGTGGTGGGATATTTTGGTGGAATTTTCGGAAGCACAAAATTGCCCACATCGTTGCCATTCATGATAATTTTTTTGGGATCTGGTTCTTCGACAATATGTTCCTCCTGAAAACAGACAGTTTGAAACAAATCTGTTATGAGTTTCAATCTTTTAATAATATTACCACTTCCTTTTCGACCAAATTTGCCTTGTTCGCAATATGGTAGTATTCCATTTTATTAACCATCTGCTCTTCGTCCTCATTTTGTATCTTTGCATAACACGTTATGACCAATTTTTCATCGACGATCTCGTGGACGCAGTTCCTTTTGGCTTTGTTCTGCTGCTTTGATCTTTCCATGATCATATTCAGTTCGTATGGTACCACCTCCCATAATATCTTCTCCCTCAGACCGAGGATCTGCTGCTGCTTCCCGTGCAAATCATGCAGATCCGTGAGAATATCCTGCAACGAACTACTCACATTATTTTAACATAAATGTGCATACTTCAACTTACTCGTGGTATTCCAAGATATCTGTTCTCATGTTCGTGTAGCACTGGATGTATTGCCTGGCAACTTTAAGTACATCACTATTAGGCCTCATAGTATTAAACTTAATAAAACTTTTTATTGCATCACCTAATTCATTCATCTCACCATACACGGAACTCAGTGCCAAATAATTCTTCGCTTCGAGTGGCGCATGGTCTACAGCAGCTCTTAACAAAATCACACCATCTTTGGAATCAAAACCCCAAAATAACAATCCGCCCAAATTTAATAAAGGTATATCACGATATTCTCTAAAACAATCAAATTTTTACATAGCACTATTTATATATATATATAGTTTAACTTATTTATTATAGACTTTATAATGCATATTTGATTAAACGTAAAAATATTATTTAATAATCTTGGTTAAACTGACATTAAATCACATTATAAATTGTAGGTCAAATTTTATATATAATACTCAAATTAAGTAATTATCATGACATAGACAGATAATACTAACTGCAGTTAATACCATATTTGAAGTATCTATGTGCTATTTACTATTTATATTTTATTATATTACTACATAAATAAAATAATGCCATTTTATGAGTTAAAGATATTCACCAATCATATTTTAATAAAGTAACATTAGCATATCATTTATTGATTATAGAAATGATAAAATATTATAATATCTCACCTTGGCACATAATATAGGGCTCTCCTACCACATTCAATAGCTTCAAAAGCATTCCCTTTCCTCCACCAATAAAGTAGTCCCAAATTATAATGTACCCAAGAACTGCTGTTCTTCATGAGTCCATAAACAATTTGTCTACCATCCTTAATAGGAAAGCTCTCATCAAACATGTGATAAGTAGAAATAGGAAATTTCTTTCTGTTAGCAATACTTTCCAAATGATCATAGCTAAAAGGACTGTAATGTAGTTCAGAGAACTTATGGCACTCAGGTTCTCTATTGATCCCTTTCAATTGATTGGACTTGAACATTTTAATTTTAAATCTATCACTGCCATTGGATGTGATCATATCATAATCACCATCCACCATATCAGTGATATCAGAGCATTTGTCCCAGGAAATTTGGTCACCAGTGGATAAAGCATCAGACTTTTTATTGATTCTATTTGTGTGCCTCTCCAGGTCTTCAATTACTTTATTCAGATCATCATAGCGTTTCTCTTGGTCCATTAGGCTTAGAAGATCGTAGGGCCGTCGCAAGTTGAACGGCGAATCCAACTATAACAATAGCATAAATATAAATAGTAAACAGTTGTTGGGTAAGGTTAAGTGACTTTCACCACATACTTTCGATTGGATTCGGCCATTCTCAGTGACCACCCAATGGGTGTGGGCATGGATATTGTGAGTTAACTGAAACAATATCACCAAGATCTTCGATAGAGAAAATTTCCTCATTTCCAAACGATATTTTTAAAATACATGCAACACTTGTCAGTTTTGACACTTCTTATAAGCAAGTCGCTTCAACACGAATGAAGTTGTCCCGATCGACCACTGAAAAGTGCTGAAAAGAATACAATTTAAGTTTTAATTATTGATTAAAGTACGTTTACACATGTACAATTTGCAACCTACTCGAATAATATAATATCATTCATCAGATATACAACTACATGTATCAGACAAACTAGTACTTAGTAAAAACAATTCAAAGTACCTATCTAAGTTGTAATATTTTGCAAAATGTAGTAATAAAAAAATATGTAGTAATAATTATAGATTCATTTTAACCGTACATGATCGGAAATAAACGAAAAATCAATAAGTTCTCAGTTCTTAAAACGAAATGACCGTTTGACGTCAGTCTGAAAATTACCTCACGTGAAGTGGGCTGCCTATATAAGCAGTTGAATAGGAACCATTGCCCACAGCCGCTCCTAATTTTTCATAATTCAACAGCAATGGCTATTCCGCATTCGCAAGTTCGTCAAAATTTTCACAAAGATTGTGAGGATGCCACCAATAAGCAGATAAACATGGAACTGACTGCCAGCTACACCTATTTAGCTATGGTAAGTTTAATAAATACTGCAGCGCTATTTTTAGCATAAACTGATAGGTAAAGGAGTAGACTTAAAAATAGATTTTTTGCGAGCGTTTTTTTTGCTTTTGCATTGTACAGGATGCGAAAAAAATAAATAATTATCGAGCCGCATTTTGGCGCAACAATCAATAAATTGCGATGACGTAAAGGACATCTAGCGGATAAAATCATATAATATCAAGTATTCAAAATAAATAGTTAATTTAATGGATAAATGATTGCAACTTAACGTAGATAAGCACATCAATTTATTATATAGAAGTAATTTTCTCTTGATGAAACCCACATCTGTACATTTCAGTAATACAATTAGATATTGCGTCATTGACAACACTTTACGAAATAATTATTTGAAAAGATGCGAACTCAATAATATGTAATAATATACAATTATACTAATCGAGTATAATTATGATATTTTCTTAAAGCAATTTGGTAATAATCTATAAATTAAGCATATTCAAGAAACAAATATAAAATAATACAAATATTATGTTGCTTAAAGCTGTTATATCTTCTTTTTCGATGATTAAATTACGTTACAGCCGATTTTGTGTATATTCTTTAGTTTAAGAATATGTAAACATAATATGAGTACACTTGTTTACTTGAGTAACTTAACGCTTCACATATTGCGTTGATTGCTTTAACACAAGGTCGTTATTTATGAAAATATTGATGTTTGAAATTACAATAATATTATTGCATATTTACAAACAAAGTTTGAATATTATAAGAAGTAAATTAAATTTACCTGAATGTATTAATCACAAGTCGGTTGTAAATAGTTTTCTGTATTATTGCATAGAAATTGAAGTATTTTTGTTATCTTTCAAAAGCCCTTTGGCCAGATTATTAATCAATTAGTTTTATTAATTTATATTAGAATTTTTCTTATTTTCATGGTTTATTATGAACTTATAATATTTTGTTTATTTTTATCTGGCCAATAAATTATTAGTTATCTCAATATCGATCAGTGTATAATATAAATTATATGTTAAATTGTAATATTTTAGGCATACCACTTCGATCGTGACGATGTTGCACTGCCAGGCTTTCATAAGTACTTCAAAAAGTGCTCAGAGGAAGAACGCGAGCACGCAACTCGCTTAATGGAGTACATCAATAAGCGCGGCGGTAAAATCGTCTTAACCGATGTTGCTCCTCCAGAAAAGCAAGAATGGGCAACGGGAAATGAAGCAATGCAATGCGCGCTCGAGCTTGAAAAGAAAGTCAATGATGTAAAAAAACTTGTTCTGCAATGAGCTGTACGCCAATGTGTTAATTTCAATAATATGACTTTCAGAGTCTCCTGCATTTGCACAGTATCGCATCCGGTCACATGGATGTCAACTTCTGCGATTTTCTGGAAACCTGGTATCTGCAGGAGCAGGTCGATGCCATCAAGGAGATCGCCGATCACTGCACCAATCTGAAGAGAGTTGGTGAAGGGCTGGGCGTCTTTATGTTCGATAAGCAGCTCGAGAAGCACGAGTAAAATATATAATATTTTAACGCTATGTAATACTTCGAAAAAAAAATGCGTCAATTGTAATTGTCATATAATCCCGTAATGTCAGAAACACTATGTTAATAAAATGTTTAGGCTAGTATTCAAGCAATTGATTTCCCAACAAATTAACCATTGCTGCACAAACTCCTGCAGCCCGCGTCATTTGTTTCACGAAGACTGCGAACGAGCAATAAATAACCAGATTATTGCAGAACTCAATGCTGCTTACGCTTACCTTTCGATGGCTGCTTACTTCGGTCGTACCGACGTGGCTCTTCCTGGCTGCGAAGGCTTCTTCAACGCGATGCAAGTGGAAGAGTTACAGCATGCACAGAAATTAATAAAGTACCAAAATTTGCGTGGAGGTAAGGTATTGCTGTGTCCTTTGACCTGCAGCGATTGCACCGAGTGGGGTATAAGCAAATCACTATCTGTCGGTTTGGAAATGGAAAAACTTATCAAAGAGGTAAAGGGTTAAGCACTTCAATTTATTAATTTGTTAACTTCGATCAAATTTTAGAAGCTGATCTCGGTACACGAAGTGGCAGAAACACACAACGACTTGAATTTAATGGATATGATAGTTACAGACTTTATTAACGAACAGGTAAAATATTACAGTAATTTCGTTTTCACAGTGAATCGCATATTACGTTTTGTTTTTCGATACAAAAGGAAAGATCTATCTGCGAATTTGGTCGATGGTTGTCGCGATACGGAAGTTTACAAGGCAACTGCAGCGGCTGCGGTTGTGTCGACTTCCTCTTCGATAAAGAAATCCATAAAACCTATGTCAAAAGCGATCCCACCAGTGAAAAAACGTATAAATAATAATAGTTTTAAAACAAACTAAATCATGGAATGTCCCCTTCAACTACATGCTGGATATTATAAAATATACATATTATATAATTAAAACCCTGTCTTCGGTCTTATTGCAAGAAAAGACCGGCGTTCGGATCTTTGGCTAAATGATATTCGGTGCCGTCGCTTGCGATCAATATCTTATGTACGGACTGTTTGTGCGCCTTCAGCGTGTTCTCGTGTTTGCATTTTTGATTGCAGTATTCGCATTTGATCGGCTTGAAGGGTTTATGTACTGTACTGTGCTTGAACAGAGATGAGTACTCTGTAAAACGTTTGCCGCAACCCTGAAATTATTAAGAACCTCAATAATATTTTATTGCATCTCAATTGTATTTCTACTTACCGGAACCGTGCATTCGTACGGTTTTTCTCCCGAATGAATTCTCATGTGGTTTTTGTAATTTGTCGCTGATGCAAAAGCTTTTCCACAATCTGGGTACGCGCATGCATAAGGTCTCTCACCAGTGTGAGACCTTATGTGAACTTTACGAATGTGCGATGTTGTGAATGATCTATCGCATCCCTCAATGGGACACTTGAACGGTTTCTCTCCAGTGTGTGTTCTAATGTGCTTTTGTAGATCTCCAGATGTCTTGAATTGCTTCGGACATGTGTTGCAGCCGTATGGAGTTTCACCAGTGTGCGTTCGTAAGTGAGCCTTCAGAGAATAACCAGTTGCAAAGGCTTTATCACAACCAGTTACCATGCATTGGTAAGGTCTTTGTCCTGTGTGAATCCTTACATGAATCTGAAACAAATTCATAACTTTACACATCAAACACAATTTTTTTTAATTATATAAAATACTTTTTAAACAAAAAATATTTTAATCTAAATATTATAGCTAATATTTTTGGTAAATACACAATCTAAATTGTTAAACAATTGATTTTATACTACTTCTTGTTACATAAACCAAATAATTGTAATAATAATTTATACAATTTGATTAAATAATTGGTAAAGTTAGATTAGCTTTACTTAGGATAATGTAATGAGTAATATATCAATTGACAATGACATATTTGTACTTACATTTAAATGATTAGCTGTTGAGTAAACCTTATTGCATGTGGAACACCGAAACTTCTTCTCCTTCACAGGTTTTTCAACCTCCTTAGCTTCTGTGTCATTATCATCAGCTGCATTTTCAATGATGGAATTCCAAACAGATTTATCAATATATGCACAGGTGCCATCCTCCAACTTGATTTGACGATAATCTGCTGCTACAAACATTTGGTAATCAATGGATAAGCTATTAATATAAAGGTATTAATTTTACCATTTTCTTCAATATCATCTGAAGGTATCTCTAATTTTGTTGCATCAAAAGTAATTAAATCATTCTCTGAAATACCTGCAATGTCTGCTTCAACATTTGTAAATGTATCTCCTAAAAATTCAAAGAAATTAGACATAGGTATAATAAAAATTTAAATATAATTCATACCAAGAGTGTCTGTCATGTACATATCACCATTATCCAGTGAGATAAATTCAATGTTTGGAACCTGCTCAGTCTTTTCACTCTCACTGGACGACTTCATGAGTGCCTCTGTAGATTCTTCCTCATCTTCGCCCTGACTAAGCGAAAGATACATAACTTTGTCTGGATAGTTGATGTATGCCAGCTCTCCATTGTCCGCCAGCAAATCGTCGGCATCGCTGACAATGGTGTAATATTGATAAACTGCTTCTTCTTCGTTATCTGAATCGAGAAAAGCGGAAACAAATTTGTTACGAAAATATGGAACTGTGTTGTCCCTCCGTTCAAAACAATCGATGATTTTAAGATGGCAGCCAACAAACTTAACCTACAAACTGAGAATCCGTCGCGATAAGTCTGATAAGAGCGTATATCTCGCGTGTTATTATAACAATCGAAGGACAAGTTTGTTGTCAAGCAGCACAAAATATTTTCGATTGTAGTAAAAAAAGGTATGATGGGAAATTACCCATGATTGCCGAGTTGCAGACACTACCATAAACGATCGTCGTGAAACTACAATGAAGTTGCCCATTAGTACTCTATTTGTAAACAAACGGTGTTGCCGATTGTCTTTCATTTTTCTATTTCTTCGAAAACACAACCAGTTTTCTTTACTTCATCTTTAACATAGAAACGAATGTAATTAAAATTGAAATAAATAAAAATATTGCAATTTAATCTTCTCCGAAATTTACTTTCTATTAACAATTATATCCTTTCCTCAACATTTGACAATAATGCAAAATATCTTACAAATAATTAAATATCAAAGGAAAGTCAACTCTTAAATAGCTAATTTATCATAACAAATTATGGTCGCCTGTATTAAGAAAATCTGATACAGAAGGTCGTTGGTTCGATTCCCAAAAACCAACAAAAATTTGTGGGGGCTGATAAACCCGAAAGGGGTAGGAATAGGGATAAAAGAGATTTATATCAATTTATTTATTTTTATTATAAAAAAAAACAACAAATCATTTAATTTATGCAGATTAACCAATTATTGTTTAAACATACTCAACAGAAGTGATAATAATATATACACATTTCCCATACAGATTTATATATTTTGCATTCACTGAAACCTTTAATTTGTAACTAATTACGTGTTAACGTGTTATTTCTTGTATCTCCTAATTGCTTTTACATAATACATTAATATCAAGAAAAACGAAGATTTGTTTTACATAAGACCAATAATTAGAAAGAATCAACATGTGTTCTATTGCAAAATAAATGTACATTGGTTATTAGTAGTATATTGTTCAATAAATAACATTAAATTTTATAATTTGCAGTTTTAGAAATACAGTGGAACCTCGTTTAACGAGCAAAATTAATTGTAAGAAAAAAGACTCGCTTAACGAGCGACGTTTCGCATAACGAGTGACGATGAGAAGAGAAGTCCCCAATTGCGCGCCTGCTCCATCATTTTTAAAATTTCTGTACACATATTATGTGTATTTTTGAATATGTTTCACTATACGAGTAAAAATTCTGAAATTTTGGAACGGATTAAACTCGTTAAGCGAGGTTCTACTGTATAATAAGTTGAATAATTAATTATTAAATATTTGAGGATAAATTTCACATTATACAAACTTAATTAAAAAAAAAACTAATTATAGAATTCAAATAATAGTTTTTGAAAGTTTCCACTTCTAAGACTTTTTAATTTAGACTATTTCAAATAGAGAAATCTTTTACTTTTGTCTAACGAATGCTCATTTTGTTAATTTGAGTAGTTTATTTTGGTATCTATTATATTTACAAATTCAAAAAGGTCAATTCGCATTAATTTTACATCTTTCTTATACTTTCTTAACAGATATTTCATGGTATGTGTAAAGAAGAGTCATGATTACAAACTTAAACATGCACGTTTTCTTCATACGGAAGACCACCAACGGACCACCCAGATCATTTGTTAGTTTGGAATATTTAGACAATATTATTTTTTCTTTAAGAGTGAAAGTCCACTGTACTTTTCCCATCACCACTAACTTAGATATTTCAATTATGTAATCTAGAGTTGATGGGATTGAATACATCAATAAACAATAATATTTATTCATCCCACACACAACTCTATAAGAATACAAAACTAAATCTTAAACTTAAATAAATCTTCATATAAATCTGGTTTCTAATAATCTCCAGGAACAGAGAAACAAAACCAAATGTTAAGTTTCCTGTTCCTGTCGTGCAAGGACGATTTCTAGAAGAAGATGCAATAAGATCTTATCGATTGCAAAGATAATTGCCAAACTACCAAATGTCGACAGAAAAATGCTTTTGAAAGTAGGTTTTTAAAGTGACATTCATGGTCGTCAGCTAACTTTATTTAAATCTCAAAAAAATAATCAAAAGTGCAGCTTAATGAAAGGAAGCTGTCAGTGGGCAAGGATTTTTTATTCTCAATTATTTATGAAAGACATTTCAATGGAAGCAATCCAAACCAAAAATATGTAATACTTAAATTTAAATCTTATTAATTTATTTAAATCGCATGACAAGATTCTGTGTTGCAATAAATGCGAAATCAATTGGAAAAATGATGGATGTGAATGTGAAGTTTGTAGTAGTGAAAAAAAAAAGAACACTTATGAATGTCTATCTTCATCAATTTGACAAGGCGTTATTGAATTATGAATTCAATCAATTTCGGTAAGAATATTATAAAATCAATCAATATAAACAAGAAAAAAAAATCCCCGGGCAGAACAACCAATGGTCAATAGCCCTTTGTATCAGTTGACTTTTTTGAAATTATATATATTTATTTTATTCTTTTTATTTCTGTATATGTTTTTTTTGTACGATTGATGCAATAAACATACCTTTTTGCCTAATAAGAATGATTGAAACAATATATTATATATATTTTGAATAGAAACATTTACCTTTCAGACATTTTACATAAGCAAAGTTTTGTTCCACATACAATGTATGTAATTTGTTGGCAATACAATGTAAAATCAAATAAATCTTAAGAATATTCAATGAATTTTGGTTCAAAATGGTGCCAATAAAATTTGTAAAATAAAGAAATAATCTATGATTAAAAAATATAATAATTACGCAATATGATGATCAATGTTTAATGAAAATTATTACAGTTTAAAGTAGTTCCTAAACTTAGGAAGATTGGAAAGAACATCATGTAGGCAACACAGTTTACGAATAATTATATCAATTACTTTTTAAAAACCATTATTGAAATATTCAACAAAGAACTTCCAAAGTTCCAACAGGAGCTCTTTTTTGTACTAGGTATAAAATTGAGATGTAAGTGTACTCTATTATTGTGTTTTACATTCTTTATAGATGACACAGCACTAATCTCATTACATAATAATTGCAAAAATATACTATTACGTAGAAAGTTTAGAAATAATGACTTAATTGACTATATTGATTATAGTAAAAAAAAACATTTTAGTGTAAAATGTCATTGAAAATATTTAAGTATACCAAATTCTGTGAATATCACAACATATAAATTTTACTCACATTAGTTTAATTGTAATGAATACGAAAACTTCTGTCTATATACTTGTGTAGACTTGTACTTTTGATTTTTTTCACTTATCATTTACTAATCAAATAAACAAAGATATAAACATTTACGTTAAAAGTAGAATTAATAATAACAACAACCATAAAATTACATAGAAAAATGTAAAACAATACATTAATCATTACAATGACTGTAGTCAATGAGTATTTAATTAAATAAAATGAGTGAATTTAAACGTTAACTTTTTGTGATTATTTTCAATTCATTGAACATTTATTTTTATGGTTTAATTTAAAAATTTTAAAGGTTATTATTACTATCAAGTATGAGTTACGCAATTTGTTAATTTAAGTAAACAAATGTAATTCCCAAATGAAAAGTTGTTATTCCAGTACGGACTTGATGATGATTTAAAATGAATTATAAGAAAACAAAAATGAAAGTGTTTGGTCAGAACGCGAATCATCAAAAGAGTACGAAAAATTTCGGAGCAATAAGAGCACTTTCACTGCGGAATCATCTCCGCAAAATTACTTAATCGACCCAATAAACATTCGCTTCGCACACGAAAAAAAAACAAGCAAGAAGGTTGCACTCTTTTTTTCCCATTAAGAAAAAAAAAGAACAACAATCCATTTGTACAAGAACAGAGTTGCGTTCGAGTTCGTGCACTTAAGACGAACAACAAGAAAAAAATTGAGCAACTAATTATAGACATTGTTCTGTTGTAATTGGATTTGTTACGAATAAGTAATTCGAATTTGTGATGATGTATCGCACGGATCTAATCTGGATCAGTAGGATATCCTTGTTCAATACAATTCAAAATTTTGTAATAGATTTGATAGAATTTAAATTTTGAATTATTTCATTGTAATAATAATAAATTAGATTGTAGATTAATTAAATTAAATCTGTTTCTGTTAATACTTTAATGACTCTATACGTTACAATAGTTAAAATAATGTTAATTATCCTTATGTATTTTTTTAAATTTCTACATTTTATATAAGTTTGTAATATATATTATTAATAATTAAACACTTTAGGGGCAATTTATTAAATTAAGAAGACTTAAAACTACAGCAATACCTCTTATAGTGCGAGTAATCGCCAATGTCTCTTTAAAACCGGACTAATTGAGGACATTAAGACTGCGTAAAAATAAACTGTACAACAATGAGACTTGTGTGTAGAAGGAAAAACGATCACATATGTAATAATAGTGTGTAATATTTTTATTTTACTCAATTAAAATGTAGTTTGTTCTCAAATTTTCAAACTGAATTTTCTCAAAGAATATAATGCAGATGGTTATAAAACTGTGTGCATTTTGAATAAAAATATGTGAATTTGTTGAAACTTTCGATGATCTTCAAGTTTATTCACATCGAATCGGATTACGAAGCTGTAGAAAAAAAAAACGACAATTTTGTATAACTTTGCAATAAATATTATTAATTCAACGCTTTAGGGATAATTTATTAAATTAAGAAGACATAAAACCACAGTAATAACTCTTATAGTGCGAGTAATCGCCAATGTCTCATTAAAACCGGACTAATTGAGAACATTAAAAATAAACTGTATAACAATGAGACTTGTCTGTGTAAAGAAAGAAAAAAAATAGATATTTGTGTGTTTATTATACTCAATTAAAATTTAGTTCATTCTGAAATTTTCAAACCGGACTATCGCAGAACAACAATATAAAAACATAAAATATATATCAAATAAAATGAGATCATAGAAAAGGGGACGTTAACGAAATGAAGGTCAACAAACATGAAAAGATATAAATTTTGGTAGAACTGAATCATCGAATAAGAAGTAAAAAAAAGAGCAATTAATTATAGCTTATTGTTCTGATGTAATTAGATATATTACGAAGAAGTATTGATGCACGAATCAAAACTTGATCAGGAGGATTTGCGTGCATTGCAGTTGCAAAATACTTTTGATGAATGAACTCGCAATAAATTCCGAGCTCGAGTTCATTTAAATATCAAGGGGATCAATTTGCGACCTTATTTGAAGAATAAATTAAAAGAAAAAAAAACTGTCTATGTATGAGGATATAGTGATTGAAACGCGCACATTAATCCGGTCGATTCTGCATCTATTTGCACCTTGAAACCCATTTCTCCTTCTATAACTGTGACCGGTGTGCTTTAATTTGGGATCAAAGGAGGAGTCTCTTCACTCTCTTCGCGATTCTTCAGCGGCTCAGTGCGATACTCAAACTCGTTACCATAGGTGCATGCAAATTGCGCGAAAAGTTGACGACCACATTTTGGACTTTTGTTTTTAAATAAAATATTCACATTATAATAATGGTAAGATTTTTTTATCCAATTCTTGCTTGTTGCTACTGTAAACTAGATAATCCGGTGTATTGATTTCCATCGTGTATGTATTATGTACAGTTCTCATTCATAATTTTATTATTTATGCCTACTTCGATGCTCATGTTTACACTATGCATTAACCTCTTGCATCGGATTATAGATGTTATTACATCATGCACAACCTCTTTAAATCGCATTGGAAGTATTCATTTATGTATAAAATTGATCGTCAATTAATTTTATTTAATTTGTCGTGAAGGCTACGAGTTTAGCGAATTTGTATATTTCTGTTTGTATACGCGATCTTCGTTTCGCTGCGAATCGAGAATGTGTTTATTATTACAAAATATTGTTTTTACTTATTATATAATAAATTTGCTATTTATCTCTTCTAAAATTTTTGCAATTGCGAAATCTAATAAACCTTCATACTTTCTTAATATAATCACTCACTGTAATTAGCCTTAATTAATTTCTTTAAATTTGTAATAGTTCTTTTTTCGCTTTTTCACCTCCTTTGAAATAATAATCATTATAAATCATTCCGCATTTCATTTGAATTTATATAAATAATTCAAAGAAATATTTCGTTAGTTTAATTTAAAAAAAATGGCAATAAATCATATTTTTAGTTGATTTTATTTAATAATTTCAAAACATTCAAAAGTTTGAATTATTAAATAAAAAAGAGATTATAAATTAGAGAACTTTTCCTTTTGAACAACAATTCAAAATTTGGTAATAATTTAAACATAATTTAGTTTTTTTGATTACTTTATCAATAGCTTAAATATTTATGGACAAAAATTGCATAGTCAATTTAATTTAAATGAGTGGTTATTTGTAGTGTGGAGACAACTAGCAAGTCTTAAAACTATAAATAAAATTACATAATATTTAATGTTTATTTAAACCTTTAGGTGATTACATAAAATGTTAATAAATAATATAAAAACACATATAGAAAAAAGGTTAAAAGTTCAAAGTATCGATAAAAGATATATTTTGGATAGATATAATGCAGAAGGCGTGTGCATTTTGAAGAAAACATGTGCAAATTTGGTGAAACTCTCGATGATCTTAAAATTTATTCACATCGGATCGGATTACGAAGCTATAGAAAAATAGAACCACAACAAATATACATAAATATGCATGAAATGCATTTGAACGCAAACAAATAGATTCAATTATAATAAAGTATATGTACAATACATCAATTTTAAAAGAAACTAAATTTTAATTGGAGAAAATACAAATAAATTATAAAAAAACTAGTACACAAAATTATTATTATTATACATAAATGATTGTTTGTTATTCTTGTATAGAGTTCAGTCACTTTTTGTGTAGTGTTAAAGTCCTCTGATAGTCCGGTTTCAAACAGTCCGGAATATTAACGGAACCAATTTCCCGACGATGTATTGTATCAATTCTGATCACTTCAAATTGGAATTTTTGTCTTAGAATTTCATTAAAAATCTACAAATAATGGAAATTTTAAATCAAATTCTTTGGTAATTCACATTGTCTTTCTTTCGGCACCACAATAATTATGTTTGGCACGATATTGACTTTTAAGGTAAAAATCTTATGAAATTTTTAAAACTGTTACTGATCTTTTTCATTCATCTATAAGAAAATCTATTTTTAAATTTGTAAATTTGTTGTACAATAATATATCTTTTGCATCAACGAACAATTTGAACAGAGAATGATTTTAAAGAAAATTTGAGTTTCACAATTTGTATTGTAGTCTATTAATATTGTGTAAGGTTTAACTACTTCACCGTAAGTTGTTTTATTGACATTTCTATGCGAGTCCAAAAACTTGAACGTGATACATGATTTTGAGGGATAAAAAAGAAAACAATTTGGTAAAAAGTAGGTAAACGTGGCTATCGTCAGAATCGTATATTTATGCTAATCGAACTGAAATCTGAAGAAAAACGCAATCAATTATTTCATTCTTAAGACCATGATGGCACGTTTTTCTATCCTGACCAATTACTTATCTCTATTTCAACAGATCATATGACATCACCGTGCAAGATTAATGTCGTTTTATGCAATGAACCACTCTGAGTCAAATGCACCTATCAAAATTGACATTTAAACTATTAGATCACATAAGAACTTTACACTCAATGCAAACATGTAATATTAAAAAAAAAACTAAATAAAGGATGGAAACTGAGAAATTGGAAATGCAATGTGTCATATCCGCAATAGAGTTTCAAAACATTTAAATATCATTGTCATGGGCGTCGAAAAAGGAATCAAGTATGTTCAGTTACTTTTTTAATGCACTTATCAAGGATTAGTCAACAAGCACAAAATAAATATCAAACTACTTTTTGTCTCGCAATTTAAATTAAATGCGACCAACTTCTTGCGAAACCTAATATTACCTCCTATGCAGATGTACTTTAACTGATCTACTTGTAACAGATTAGCCAAAAACGAATTCAAATGACGACCTGAATGTAATTGAATTGTGCTCATTATTTACACACTCATTTTTTTCTTCAAACTTTTTTTTCTCATTAGTCGACCACTAATTAGTTCAGTTTATTACTAGAGAGCAGAGTGCTACTTCATGTAAGAGTTTGCGATGATCTGAACTTTACGCAATTGTTCGGGGAAATTAGCCTCAGGTTAATTTGTTTGGTATTTCCAAAAGGGAAACGTATTTAATTGCGAAGGCTTTCTTGTCTGCAGCAACAATTTCTTCAATGAAATTGTACACGTTATTAAGTCAGCATAAAATAAATTAATTAAGCATTTTTTTATAGTGTCAAGTTGTCTGGTTATTATTTTTCTTGCAATAACTGCTGCATATTACGACAAATGAAGATAAATCTTTCAATCCACGCAGTTAATTTGTTAACCAAATTTATAATATATATAATATATCAAAATACAATTGAATAAATATATGATTTTAGAAATAAGGTCTTGTGAAAGCACAATAGTCTATAAATTTTAAATTCCACAACTGGTAGGATTTATTGAAATAATATTGGTATTTGTTAAGAAATTATGTGCTGTATTTTTTTTGTCATCTAGTAATTTTTAAATTTTCAAGTATGAATTCAGAAAAACCACGTCAAATCACAAAATGTTATACAAATGTTGTGATTTCGAAACTTAGACAATCTAAGTACTAATCATAATATAAATTAATATACAAATAAAAAACATATTTACAGTTTAATAGTGATACATTTCTGGTAAATCTAGTTGAATCGCTTTTTATTGGTCACCCAACAGACGTGGTTATCCACAACAGACGTTGCTTAACTTTGGTAAGCTGTCATTAATACTTTATTTATGCAATACTTATAACGTTGCAATATTTTTTTATAAATTATCTATCACGTTATTACATTAGTATACCAAATAAATGGGATTATCATATTTTCAGATTATCTGACTGACCTTAAGTAAGTAAGAAAGTAATAACCAAAAATAGGCTGAATGAGTAATTTTATCAAATATAGATGAACGAAAAATAAAACGGTATGTCACGCAATTCGAAATGTCAATGAAAAAATGTAAAAGGGATAACAACCTACGCCATCGAGTGATCCAACATGAATACACTTTTCTTCAGAGATGAGTTCCCACCAAATATATAGTTATGTAAGACGATGATTTATTTGTAACCTTGCAAAAAGCTAATAACGAAACGGAACTTGAATCAGATTGTGCAAAAAATTTGTCAATAAATTACTTTATTTAATCATAAAATTGATTGAGCAAATGAAGCTCTATAGTTCATTTTCAATTTAATAAATTAAATAAAATTATGTTATTTGGTGTCTAATTAATACTTTTATACCTCGATTAACATTACTTCTGATAACAAAGATTTGATACGAAGTCCGTAATATTAAAGAAAATATATCTAGAAGAAGAAAATAACTTCTCAGATCTTCCAATGGATTCACGATCCGTCGAACGAAAATCTTCTGAATAGATTGACAAAAAAACAGAAGTATGCATTGGAAAACCAGAAGAACGAAGCTCTACAAGACTACCTCAAGAGCCTAACAACCTAAGCAGAGTGTACCACCAATTCGCAAACCAGATGGCACTTGAGCAAGAAGGAATAGGGATAAGGCGGAATTATTCGCCGACCACCTCGTTAAGGTCTTCCAATCGTTCCCAACGCATCAGGTATGACGAAGAGCGCAAAATAACGCGTTTCTTTGAGTTTCCGTTCCAAACCGTTCCAGAATTTAGACAAGAAATTATCTATGAAATTTTTTGAATGCAGAAGAAGATGCGTGGAAGAAATTAAAGAATTTGCTACCAAAGATTTCAAACGGTGTTTAAATGATATTAAAAGCATTGAACATTGATTGAACTAGATTTTATAACTTCGTAATATTACTGGAAAAATTTGTTTTGTGTTTTTCGTCTAATTTATAAAAACATAATATACAGTTACAGCAATACTTCGCATAGTATGGCTTCGAACTGTCCTGATTCTCTATATTCCGATTTAAAAATTTTATTTTTTTCTTCATAAATTATTGGTTTTCGCCCTTTATTTCTCAATTATTAGCGGAACCATTTATCCGTACTATGCGAAGTATTGTTGTATTAAGTTTATGATATAAATTAGTGTTTTCTAATCTTAAAACGTATGCATAAATATTTATGATATCAAGTTTTTCGAAAAAAAATACAAATAATATTAATTTGATCACAAACTGAACCCAATAATAGTAAACCAACTAATCTATAAAGAATGCAGTTGAAATATATGTAAGAGATAAAGCTATAATTGTAATTTGGAACTGCAATTAAACGATTATTAGGAAATAAATAAGATTTATATGTATTTATGATTGCAGATTAGTTCGAAGTATTGATTGTATATTGAACGAGAGGCGATTAAAACCGAGTGTTGCTCCACATAAACTGAACTTGTTTCCATGAGACGATTAATGCAATTCAGGACATACATATATATGTAT